TTGTTTAGATGTTATATTCAGGTGTTACTATCATTAATCCCATACGTGTCTGTCTATAATAGAAATCAACAAAAATTGCTAGAAGTGAAGACGTTAGGAAGGATGAGATTAACGCGTGCCCCAATTGCTTGTATCCTCTTATTGCTATTTCGAATGCGTAGGCGCAAGAGTTAATGAACTAGCGGAGGCCGTTTTGTTACAAGAGCTATTATTATTGTTACGCATTTACAAGTCAAGGCGTTATATCTATACTAATATTATAAAGCTGAAGAGTTTGTTTGTTTGAACGCGCTAATCTCAGGATATACTACTATACGATACTAATGTTGATAACTATTATGTAGTTAGAGCATTTATCGAAGAAGGATTAAGGCAAAATGTCTTTACGATGCGACTAATAGAAGCAAAACGCTAGAAATTATTCATCTTCTTGGGTTTCCGTTAGATGCGCTGCGAAAGCGGTTCAAGATACCAAAAATATGTTTGAAGGAATGATTCGTCTTTAAACAATATAAAATATGCCCGCGACTGATATATGTCTATCTTTTAAGATTAACTTGCAAAACAGGACTGGCACGACATTGTAGACAACAGCAAAATTTTAGGTTTCAAAAACAATTTTGATGGCCAAAATAACTATTTTCGACCACAGCTAGTTGCTTATACAAATGATACAAGAGGATTTTGTACCACGATAACTTAGGATAGACCGCAGTTACCATTGTCTCTATTTAAGAATGTTTAGAAATGATCAGGAAGTTATAATATTGGATTAAACGAACTTGTACAAAATAAAATATATAGGTAAATATACATATCTAAATTAATTATAACAATCCTTACTAATATTATAAATGGGAAAGGAACCTTTGTCTGTCTGTCTGTTACTCTTTCACGCCAAAACTACTGAACGGATTTGAATGAAATTTCGTATACAGATGGTCTAGACCCTGACAAAGGACATAGGCTACTTTTTTATTGCGAAAAGGGGGTTGTAAAGGGTTAAAAAGGGCTGTAAAAATGTGTATGGAAAATTCGTGGTTTTTGAAGCTAGAACAATGAAACTTTCTTCTTTGGCTTTTTGTGAATAGGAGTAAGAGTGGCTCAATAAATGCGCAATTACATTAATTAGTAAACAGCCTAAATAATTAAGAGTTCTACCCGAAGTCACTATTCCACGCGAACGAAGTCGGGGGCACAGCTAGTTATTAATAACTTTAAGTTATTGAACATTTGTAGGTACTTATTGAAGCTATCAAGAACAATATCATAGACTAAATTATATACGTATTTTATATAAAAAACAATGAAGTTCTTAATTTGTTATTTAACCTAAGATCTCACGAGGCAGCTTCGACACGTGAACAGATTTATAATTGTTTTGCAAATTACGTTCATAATATTTAAGTTGTGCTGTTCTTGCCTACAATGAAAAATTATCTTCATTATATTTGTCTCTCACTGCTTGAAAGACTGACAATGTACAACAATAAGAAAAGGTTTTTTAATATATTTTTGTTTTATTTCTTAAAAATAAAAAAAAAATGTGTTCCTTAATACTAAGTAGCACGTACCAGATACTATTTACGAACATTAGTATTGTATGACTACTTTCGTTACTTTCTTCTGTATACAGTTTGCGAAGGTCTTTTAAACTTAAAAACCAAATATTAGTGAACAACGAAACCAGACAATTGTCCTATACTGGAATAATCCCTTACTTTACTTTAGCGATACAGGGATCGTAGTGTTTTTCGTCAAAATAAAATAATCAATGTTAATATGTATGTATCGCAAATTGCACATTGAATAAAACACTTTTAACCGTTTTAAATTCGAACGATATTATTTACTAGCTGTGTCAGCGACTTCGACCGCGTACAATAGTTATTTTGTGCATCCAAATTTGTTTTTTCCTCCTTCATCTTTATGAATTTAAACTATTACCTACGATGTCGGCCACGGCTAGTCGTTCTTGCAAGTTAATCTTAAACGATAGGCATATAGTGTCGCGGAGTTTTTTTTAGATCATTTAAAGAGGACTCATTCTTACACACATATTTTTTGGGTATCTTGAACCTTTAACGCAGCATACGCATCGGAAACCCACAGAAATGAATAATTTTCCCCGTTTTTTCCACATTCCTCGCTGTTTCTTCGCTCCTATTAGTCACAGCTTGATGATGATTTATGGCCTATAACTTTTCTCAATAAACGCAGTAGATCCTGATATTAGTATAGATTTTATACTAAGGGATTTAATGCTTGTACGCAGCCATAGTCATTGGACGAACAAAGGTTGTACTGTACAGTAAGTAACGACAGTAACAGGTAGGAATGGAAGTACATACTTAATATGTATTTGAAAGCTGCGTATTAGAGCGATAATGTGCGTTAAGGCATGTCAATTTTCTATCAACAACGTTATGCTTTACTAGTTCGAGTAAATGTCTGTTTTTATTTGATTCAATTTTTACGCAATTTACCTACATTAATAGTAAGAGAAGTTTACTAGCTCTAACTTCTGTCTGTAGTTTAGGCGAGTAGCACACATTTAAATAAAACACTTTTATAATTTAAAATTCGAAAATAAATTGAAAAAAATTTTCGACTCGGGCAGGACTTGAACCGGCATCGTCAGCGTTCCGTGCTGTTGCTCTACCAAGTGACTCGGTAGCTCAATTGGTAGAGCAATAGCACGGAACGCTGACGATGCCGGTTCAAGTCCTGCCTGGGTCGAAAATTTTTTCAATTTATTTTCGAATTTTAAATTATATAGTGCCTTCATGTGCAAAAACATGTAAAAAATAATAAAGTTTTTAAAACACTTTTAACGGTTCAAACGGGAGTTTAAATAAATAAGTTAAATTATTATTTTCGCGTTGTAAGTCCTTTATTAAAAATGTTTTTGAAACCTGAAAAGTATAAGAAAATGAATATACTGAAAGAAAAACTATTTTGCGGTATCCAATATAATTGAGGTGAAATGTATTGTATAATTGAGGTAAATACCAACGCCTGATAAAATGAGTTGAGCAAATGTGTGAACTTGATTTTTTTTTAAGTTAGCGATAGAAACGAAAAAAGTAAACGGTAGATTTGTTTACTTATTACAATCTGATAGATTATCATTTTTAGAAGAGTCTAGACATCATCATCTCGTAATGTTAAATAATTTTAACAAATACATATTAAAATAAAACACTTTAACGGTTTAAAACGCGAGATGTATTAAACGTATTTACAATATATTTTAACTTGGGCCCGACGTTTCGGATGCTTTCCAGCCGTTTTTATCTATCGTAAATAAGTTATCTAATACATTTCGCTTTTTTATACCGTTAAAAGGTTTTTCATTTAAATACACGTATTTTTATTTCTGCTTATGGTATTAAGTAATACTATGTATAGTGCACACGCCATTGATTGCCTATCACAGATTCAAACAATAGCAAACTGATCGATATGAGGCATGATATTCGTGTCACGGTTGCCGACCTACTTGCCTACTACCCCGGTAACACGGCAACTAACAATTATATCAATATTTTATAGGTATTAGATAGGTATACCTTTGTATTTGGTCAAGGCTTATTAATTCATTTATAAGTATACCTACAATAATAAATGTTATAGTATAACCTAATATAATTAAGTGGGGCTTGGGGTAAACATTTCGATGTCCATCGTCCCACTGATCGGTTCTTTTACAGACAGATCGTTAGGTGAAACCTAGATTCGAACCTAGATCTCTCGCGCTTAACGCCATTAACAACAAGATTTTTAAAGATATTTTTTTTAACATTCCAGCGGCACTTCTTTTTGATGCCGTTAATTTTAGACATTGGGACGCAAACACGATCACTAGAGTATTAGATAAATAACAAAGGAATGAATAATAAAAAAAAGAGTCAATCATCGAAGCAGGGATGTAAAGGAGGTAGTTTTATCAGAATTAAAGCCGGAGTTTCTGAATTTGCTTAATCGGAGTCGTAGGCATGATCAGAAGTAGTGGCATGAGAAATGATTTTTAATTAACGACAAATAAAACATTAATAAGTCTATTTTTTTTTCATTTCAATTGTAAAATAAAATACAAACTCGAGAAAGTAGCATATTACATTATATTAAATGAACAAAAGCTTTAGAACAAATAAAAACAAAAGAATTGACTCTAAAAGTAGTATATTATACTTTACTGACAAAAGCAATGAAGCTTTGTCTTCGTCCAATCTATTGTTAACGAGTCGTAGATTAGGCCAGCGCCACTAAAAAGTTGTACGCTGGCTACCGAGCCTGGTAGACACGACTAATATTACACGTAGTGGAAGTCGGGGAGATTCCCCGTGCGCCATATATGAACCTGTTTATAACAGCCGACACAGGCCGCGATGAAGACCTCCGATTAAAAAGAGTCGGAACCGAAGGTGTAATAATAATCGCAAGTACCGACTTAACGGAACCGGAGGCGAAGTTTCGTAACATCCCTGATCTGAAGATAGAAGCTTTCAGTAAATAAAGATGTGTCCACTCAATCCAAGGACTACTTTCTATGAAGATAGATAAATAAGTTGAAACCTTCCTAGGCTACAAATATTTCACCAGGAGGATAAAAAAGTTTTCTGATATTTGTATTATACCAAATACTTCATTACTTGGTCAACATGTTGTTATAGTAAAATAGTAACCAATTTAATCTTATTTGCATAGGAAGGTATCAGAATGCATAAAGCCATTACGCAATTGAAAAAATTACAACAATTTACCTTACTTAAGGGATATTCCAAAGTGCAAGTTAGGTAAACTACTAACCTTAATAAAATCTAATTCAATAAAACCTCTTTTAACTTGTACTGATGGATTATTTTTGTTAAAAATGTTACATAAATAATTCAGTAAGGTTAAACAAGAATAAAAATGAGATATTTGTGACAGCCTACAAATAAAACAACTGAATATTTTTTTGGGATTTTATTTTTTAATCTTACATTAAGAGGGTCTTAAATCCTTGAAGGATACAACATCTGAAACAAAAGAAGTGGTGTTAAACCGTGACTATAACACCAGAATTGTTCTGTATTGATATTATAGTATCAGTAAATTGGTATCCACATAAAATTCAGGTTTCAAATGTCTAAGCATCATTTAAAAAAGATTATGACAAGCCTATTGTATTTTGTGAGCAATAATTTTCATCTAGTTTATATTAAAATAAATCTAGCTTCTCAAACCTTAAATTATGAATAAAACTGTGATTTGATTAAGGCAAGTTAATGCATTTAAATAAATCACTTTTAATCCATGGCTGCTATAAAGCATTCGAAAGGTCAGGCCATAGTTAATTTAAATTGTACATAAGTTTACTAATATGTACGTTTGAAACTAAGTGTTTTTTTTTAATGAACTACTAATTTGAACAAATATAATAAGTCTTACCACTCGTATTCTGTGTCCCATAGCTTGTGCTGGAAGGTTTGACTTAAAGTGAGCACGCACACTTCCAGAGTTACCATGAGGACGGGTCACTTTACCCCAAATTGCGCGTAGCTTGGTCTTGATACCACGGGGTCCTCCAGCAATAGGTGTCCTTTTCTTAGCCCGGTAGACATAAACACATTTCTTGCCAGCATAGAACATAGCATCTTGCCGTGATCTAGCCCCTTCAAGCTGAAACATTTTTATTTTACCATTAAACATTAAATGACTACTAAAAAGTAATTAGTAAAAGAAAGAAGTTGATCAGTAATATTTAATCCACATATTTTTCAGGTTTCAAATGTCAAGGCATCATTAAGAACTTACACAATATCCAGTTTACTTATGATGTATATAAAAAAGCTCCAAATCTTGTTTAAGCACATAAAAGCTGTCTTATTTGAAAAAACTTGTAATGAACCAATAATTTTGATATTTCATATGCCGTTGCCGTCCTTCAACCCTAGTCAAAGTTCTAGCCTTACTGGTTCTATATTGTTTTAAAAGTAGTCAAAGGCACACTGTCCTGATCAATGTTTAAGTCATGGGAAGAGGTTTAACATAAAACATAGTTGAAAATGAGACAGACAGTGTTTTTCATGTTCTAACTTTAGACAGTACATTAGTGTATTAAACATTGTAATTGTACTCATGTATGTCTATTCTATGTTATAACTGTAGTCACAAATGCAATACGGTTTACCTTTAGCAGAGCGGTGTTTTCGTGTTGATTGCGAAGACCACGTTTGTATCCTGTGAACACTGCTTTAGCATACAGTCTACCATGACGGGGCTTAGAGCTCTTACGCACTGCTTTTGCGGGTTCTGCGGGAGCCGCAGGGGCATCCTTTGGTGCCTTCTCTTTTGGCGCTTTTGTTTTAGGCGTCTTCGCCTTAGGCGCAGTAGAGGGCGCGTCTGCCATTCCTTAAAAATTAAACACTATGTTGATATCACTACATAAGAGGTTATGTTGACATACAATTTATAATCTAGATTTATCTTAAGAACCCTTAGTAATCTAAATAGTTTTCAATGGTGAATGGTTTTAAAAAATACTCTTTTACTAAAATCGTTTTATATTTTAGCTTAAATAAAAGATTTTATTTAAAAATTTCCGAAAATTTTAACACTAACCGGATACTTGTTATTGAAGTGAAAGAAAGACGGTGTTGCCGCATTACACAATTTAGAATTTTAGTAGATTTCAATATATAAATACCATTAATATTTTAAAACGTCATACGTCTCGTGTACTTAAGAATTTAAACAACGATTCTAATTTTAATAATCTAAATCAAATTTGAAGTTAAATATTACTTCTAACTTTTACAATTTCGTCAAATTTACAAAAGAACTAGGTAGTACTCAGTAGATACTTTCTTAGAATGACTTCAGATAAACAATTTGTTATTTACTTTTCCATAACATTTCATAATATATAATTAAATTCATAAATACTACAGAAATACTTATTTAATACATAAAAATAATTTTAATATTTTTTCTACTAATATAGTAGTTATTTTACACAAATGGTAACAGATATGTCTGTTTCACTATATGTTGTGGTAATTTGAATAAATAAAATAAAAATAATTTTATTTCATTTACTAAACGGAAGTAAAATCCAAGGTACCATTAAGTCAGCTCAATAGAAAAGAAAACTACTAAGATTAATTTCTTCCTTGGTTTATCTTTTTATTCATAAAAAATTAGACTTTTCATAAAAAAATAAATATTAAAAGGTTTAAGACTTTTCTATTCTTATTATTTATACTTATTTAAAATTATACTTTAAAATATTAAAGTATGGTATTTTTGGTTCTTTGAAAATTGACGAGGTGTCAAAGTAGAATGTTGACTACAAAGATTGACAACTGACACAAGAAGTTCGAATAAAATATATGATTTGGACCAATCAAATCAGACCACGAAAAGATACGAAAGGAAAATGGATTGAAGCATGTCAATAATAATTTTTAGTTTAATAAAACAGAATTGCTTTAATAATTTGTGATCGCTCTAATATGATACACAAAATAATGGATAACTTAGTAAATATCAATTGGAACAAAGTAACGCCATGTCTAGTTTTATTGTTATTAGATTTAGTATTAGATTGTAAGTATATATTCGGGATACTTTAGTTATTTTCGATCTAGTTTGTATGATCTAATATTTGTTGTGTAGTGTTACTGACAGGATATTTAAAAATAGTTTCAGAATGTACGACACAGGCTGAGGTAAACAAGCATTTAGAACTAGGGCGAGATTTCTTGAGTCGTGGTCAGCTTTCAGACGCATTAACTCATTATCATGCAGCTGTAGGTAAGTGAATTGGTTTTAATAAACTTAATTTCTATAACAAAACTTCTACGTTTCTGCGTATGTAGACGTGTGTCTACGATATATTCTTGATATAATTTGTTGCCGAACTTTACCAAAACAAGACCAAAAATACAACAAAAATATTCATTTTCTGACTAAAAGTTTCTATTCCTAGAGGTAAATTAAGCTAGATAAGATAATATATTCAAAGTACATGTTAACTGACGTTACAGTCATTTTGAAAAGTATTAGTGTCTTTTATTGCGCTTTTATTATCAGATACCATAGTAATGTATGCTTGAAATACTAAAGTTTGCTTTATTTTGCAGAGGGAGACCCACATAACTACCTCACTTACTTTAAAAGAGGCACTGTTTATTATGCACTTGGCAAAGCTAAATTTGCATTACAAGACTTTAGTAAGGTGAGTCCAAGTCTTTCATGTTAACTAAATGATAACAACCCTTCTGTAACCACTATAAGTTAATATTTTTTTTTCTTTAGGTATTAGATTTAAAACCTGACTTCACAACAGCCAGAGTTCACCGAGCTCAAGTTTACCTCAAATTAGCTGAGTACATGAATGCCAAAGATGATTTTATACAAGTGGTATGTAATAAGTTTTTTTACTCGTACTGCCGGTCTGAAATCTTTGGGAACACAATGATAAATGATGTAATTGTTAGCATGGTCAGCTGATGGCTTGAACTGATCACCCGGCCTTCTACAGGTGTCCCCGATAGATAATAATAAATAATAATAGCTCGAGTCAAGGCAAAATTCATTTAATGAATTACATAAAGTATTTTGATACCCCATATATCAGTATGGCAGTTTTAAACACCTAAAGTACCATATAATGCAGAACAAATTTTATCAACTTCATATATTTCAGTGTAATAAACTTAATATCTGTTTTATTATTCCTAATATGTGTGACAGCATAACATAGATAGTGCAATGTTAAAGTATGAGTGTGACAAATTTATATTATTATTTCATTTGCTGATAAGGCTGTTACAGATATAATTTTTGTTGAATCTAGATTTTATATTACTAACTATACTTTACACATAAAAAAAGGTTTATTTATTGAACTGGCTAGAAATAATATTAAAAAATTATATTCCACTTCTCAACATATGCATATACATTGTAATAGAAAATATACATTTTATTGTTTGATAGTGGAAGTCTAACTGTAACTTGCTTTAAAATCTCATGCTTATTTAAATAAAGTTGTAATATAAAAAAAAATTGTTGTACAAATGCAATAAAGTAAGGGAATAGTGTTTATTACTTGTTCATAAACATAGATGTCCATGTCATTTTTTGTATTGATGTTGCCCTTCCTTTTTTTCAAATATATTTTAGTTTTATACAAAAGAAGAAGCCCTGCGGTTACGTTTATGTGTAATCTTTATGTATATATATTTGTTTTTGTGTATTATTAGTAATAATTCTATTCATTTATATTAAACAGACATATGAAGACCCATACAATTCTGAAGCTTTAACATACTACCATCGTATGGATGAACTGAGTGAAGAACTGAGATTGGCAGAGGCTTATTATCGTGGTGGGGACTTTAGCAGCTCTGCTGAATTAGCAACAAGACTACTTGAGTTATCCCCTTGGTCTGCAACTCTAAGGCAACTTAGGGCAGAATGCTATATAGCTATGGTAAATAAATTTCCATAAGCTATTTATTTAATAACCCCCTTTGCCTATTTTAGTTTAAAAACATAAATAAATAGATGAGAAAACCATGAAGAAAAGATAATATACTAAGTAATTGGTTCAGTGGTTAATATTTCTTTAGAAAACAGCTTCTTAAACTTTAGAAAGAATAAGTAATCATAAGGATATCTTTTCACTTATCAGAATGACCTATACTCGGCTGTGTCAGATATTCGGTCTGTGAATCGACTACAACAGGATTCAACGCAGGGCTATCACCGTTTAGCAACACTTCTATACAAACTTGGACATGTCAGTGATGCACTCAAGGTCAGTTACATTCACTTACAAATTACTTATTATTTGTTTATTCATATATATGTTATTGCACAACAAATAAAATGATTTATAATACAAAACAAAGTAATTTAGTGCAAGAGGTAATATTAATTCCCAAAAAAAAATTTAATGCAAATAATACTACTCTACAAATGGCAATAATTATATTAGTTTATAAATCTACACAATATTATACATATCTACTTTGTTAACTTAGATATTTGACATTGATATAATTTTAATTAAATTTATACAATTAATAAAAATTAAAAAATTCTATAGGAAATCCGAGAGTGTCTCAAACTAGATCCAGAGCACAAACAATGTTTCCCGCTGTATAAAAAGTTAAAGAAGGTGGACAAGTTGCTACTTCAATGTGAGGAGAGTAGTGAATCTAGAGATTTTGCTGGGTGTATTGATAGTGCTAATAAAGTGCTGAAGATTGAGCAGGAAGTGACGTTAGTAGTCTATGAGGCTAGAAGATGGCTGTGTAGTTGCTCGGTGAAGGTAAATATATATCTTCTTATGTAGTATAATATACAGGTTGCCGTCAAAATTATATTGACAAAATTATATTGAAATTATATACAAATTTTAATAGAATGTGATAGATTTCGAACATATCTCCAAAATTTTATTAAAAACAGCCGAGTAGTTTTGGCGGTAAAGCTCTTTTTTTTAATTAACAAAAACATCAGGTTATAAAATTAACTTCTTTAAATTAGATTGAATTTTTTTGCATATAATTGTGTTACAATAAGTTTAATATAGTATTAATCATTATTTTAATTAATACTATTTTATGATTATTATTTAGAAACATAAAAATTATTAAGTGTCTTTTAGTTAGTTTGACTGTAAATTATGTATGCATGTGTGAAAATTCAATTATTTCACAAGTCATTAAATCATTTCTCTAGTCGTAAACCTCCATGAAAAATAATTATTTTAACACAATTTTTTCTATTGATGTCAAAAATCTTTAAAATATCAACTTTATACAGAGCTGTTATTGAAAATTTTGGTTTTCCATTCAATAGATTTATAAGTTATAGTTAATATTTATAAAGTATTTATAAGTTATAGTGCTAAGAAGTATCTCATAACAATAAAAATTATTTTTGTTACTAGGAAGAGCAATACTCCGAGGCGTTAACTCAGTGTAACAGTGCCTTATCGTTGCTGAAGGAAGCTAGAGTGTTGTGTGACCGTGGTGATGCACTGATAGGCCTTGATATGTTTGATGATGGTAACTATAAATATTTTGCTTTTTTGTTTGCTAATAGCTTTTTACCTCAAATAGACAATATACTTTATTTATTATTAATATAAAACAATAAATAAACTAATATAATATGATTTCTTGATATAAAACAATAAATTGCGTAAAGTTATAGGCCTAGATTCTTGGCTTTGTTGTCTAAATTGAACTAAATAACTAAAGCTTATGTAGAAAAATCTTTTTATGCAAATATTTTTATTTGTGACGTACAATTATTTGATCATTGAATTTACTATAGTAACACTACACTGTAACTTAAAATGAATGTTCTCGATTTATTATTTGGTAATACAATATCATGTCTTAGCTTAGTTTATATATTAGTAGAAACATGTTAGATTTATTTTGTAACATATTTTTAAATAAAAACAGACATAACTGGGCTACTACCTAACAACCATGCAGTAAAATAAATATTAATTCTTATTTCCTTTTAGCAATCAGATCGTTCAAGGAAGCATTAGAGCTAGATGAAGGATTCCAACGAGCTAAAGACGGTCTTAACAGGGCACAGAAACTACAAAAGCAGTCTGAACAGAGAGATTATTATAAAATACTTGGTGTTAAGCGGTGAGAGTGCTATATTAAAGATTAAACATTAATTATCATAACTTATTTGGCATATAGAAATGCTTACCTTTTTTTTACTAAACTAAACTTGACTGTATTTTTTTATGATAGAAGAGGGTAGACAAGGTTGGGCTCACCGGATGATAGGTGAAATACCCCAGTCACATAACATCTAAACTAGATGTGCTGTCGACCGATTTTGACTTTGGATATTCAAAAATCCTCAGACTTAAACCGAAACGCGATTAAACTTAACGGCTGATTCATGACGCCGACGGAATTGCGATATTCCTACCTAACATTTAATATTCTCAGATTTCCAGAGGTAGTACAATATGTCTCAGACAAATTATAAATCTAAATATGAACCTCATGGGGATTGAACCCACCACCCATTAATTATTATTACCCATACATGGCTACTAATGAGCCCGTCTAAAATAATAATAGAATTATATAAATTACTTGTAGGTCAGCTAGTAAGCAGGAGATAACAAAAGCATATCGTAAAGCTGCACAGAAATGGCATCCAGACAATTTCCAAGGGGATGATAAGAAGATAGCCGAGAAGAAATTCATAGATATTGCTGCCGCTAAGGAGGTAACTATGACACTACTAACAGAAATCATCTTTTTAAACATTTTATGAATTTAATTTGGTAACAATAATAAAAATGATTTGTTTATAACTATATATACTAATGCAGTATATAGTAAAATGATGGATCATTATTTAAAATATAAATGTATGTAAAGCTGTTAAAATACTTATCTCTTAATAAATAAGCTTTCACGGTCATCGCATATTATTGCTTATCGGGCTGTTCGGCCGACGTAAGCGAGAAGAGATTCTCGACGTTTCGCCATCACGTGCGCACGGCATCATCAGGAGATGTTAGCTCCTTGATTGTGAAGAATCGAGGCCAAACAGCCTTTCGGGCTGTTTGGCCTCGAATTCTTCATCATTGATACATTTTTTCACTAGTTGTAATAATAGTTAATTAAACTTATGTTTCATTTCCCAGGTGTTAACCGACCCCGAGAAGCGCGCTCAGTTCGATAGTGGCGTAGACCCCCTAGACCCCGAGGGCGGTCGCCAACCCTTCCAGCAAAACCCCTTCCACCACTTCCAGCACGGCTCGCCGTTCCAATTCAAGTTCCACTTCAACTAAACACATGGTGACAATAATAATTTGGACAATTGTGATATTTGTGACTTTGTATATGAGTTTTCAATATCGAAATGTTTACACCATTTTCGTAGTGGGGTGTGATGTTTTTTTATTCGAGTTGCCAGTGCGTGCTGAAGATAGTTTTGTATAGTCGCATTTTTTAAATATTTTTTCTAACCTATCATTAAACTTCAGTGTTGCTAGTTAACTGATCCTCTAAGTACTTTACGTACGTACAAATCTGATGGGCATGTTATAGAACGAAATGTATGATAATTTAATGGATATTTAAGTTTTTGACTTACCCGCCATCTAACAACCATTTAAACAAAGTGAATTATTTTCAAAAACAAATAATCTTTTAAATTACTATCTTGGTTATTTCTAGTCGACGAAGCTTTTACAAAATAACTTCCATAGATTTTACAATAGACAGCATTGTTACTGATAATATGTTGCTGTCTTATTGAAGTTCGTTAGTTTTTCTTTGTCACTCATACGCTTGCCAGTTCCATAGATTTACAGAAAAGATATATATAATAACTTCAAGTACAAAATCTATCAAAGCTTCTAATCCACTTTGCGCCAGATCTTTTATATTTTTATTTATAGCTTAACCATATTATATAGAAAATACAGAAATAAAGTAATATTAAATATATTTACGCGGGCATTACTTTAAATATTATATTTATGTGACGTCACGGAATACGTTATGTACTCGCATTGCATGGATAATCCAATTTTAAGCTTTTAAGCCCTTTTACTGTTTCTAATATGGGATAATGATTTTGACTTTTGTATGAAATATTTCTTTTTCCGGTACAGTGCTCTCCAAACTTTTTGACCGGCCTGAAGTTAGCGCAGAACGCTAAAAGCAGGTATCAGTTGCGACAATGGCGGTGCGCGGGTGCGGGGGAACACAAGTGTTGTGATGTGCAAGATGGCGGTCGCGGTAACTGCAGCCCGGCCAAAAAGTTTGGAGAGATTTTTTCTCGCTAAGATTATTTTTATTTAAATTAAACACTTAACGGTTTAAAATCCGAAATATATTAGTTATCGCATGCATTGGAAAGGTTAGGTCATAGTTAAAATATAAAAATTGGTTAAGTTTGATACATATCGCGTTTTAAACTGTCAAAATGGTGATTTGTTAACATTTCCATTATGACATTTTTATTATGTCTCCCCGTGACCACGGCTGCTGCAAAGCATCCGAAACGTCGGGCCGAAGTTAAAAATCATTTTCAAATAAGTTTAAGCAATATATCGCGGTTTAAACCGTTAAAGTGTTTTATTTAAATTTTTATTATAATCCTATATTAGAAAAAGCTATAGTCTCAGCTTTGTAACAACATTAATGCCATTTGTTGAATTCTTCTGCATAATAATGTTTATAACTTCATTAACAAATGTCGTTTTTGTTGTGGACGCGCTTCATCCCGTTACACGTCCATCATTTATACATACTTATTTATTTTGTTGTGATTCTTAACTGAATGTTGTAAATATTTTTAGGAATATAAGCGATTAAGAATATTTCTGCTTTTTTGTTCTTACCCAATCGCACTTACCGCGCCGTTGCATTAAATTCCTTTCTGGGTTAGGAACCCGGGGTAACTTTAATGGTTAATATCTAACAAGATTCAGACACACAGATGTGTGTGGAAATCGGAAGTTTCAAAGAATATGGTCTGTTGTTACATATCGTTGTTGTGTTGTAACAGCTAGCATTGCAGTAAGCCAAAAGAATTCTGGGTTTAAAAAAACGAAACTGTTTTGGTCAGCTAGGGCACATACTTTCCGGGTCAGTCAGCAGGTCATAGCTGACCCATGTACTCTATAGAGTGGTGTAAGAACTGGGTCTACAAGTAAAAACAAAACTGTAAAAATAAATTATATTCCAAAGACATAAAGCATACATCAGTCGAAACAATATCAGTCTTATCTAATCGTCCCACAATAGTTTGGACTTTCTGGGTCCGTCAAGGCGCAATTTTCTCGCAGCTCTATCAATTTCGTTGCTCAATTTTGTTTTGTCTTCCTCCTTTTGGCAAATGTAGCGGTGCTTCAGGGCACAGTCTTGGCCCCGATAAACGTAGTTGTTCAAGGCTGGATCGTATATTAGAGCGAGGCACCGACCCTCACCAACAATGCTGGTTGAATTTGAGGCTTCAACTGGCTTAGCGGAGTGCGACCATATCCACAGCAGACCTGGGTTCAGACCGCCAGTCCAGAAGTCTTTACCTATTTATAAGAAGAACATTTTAGAAACAGTTTCGTTACTTAACGGTCTTTTTATTCGGAACTATCTAAATTATTGCTTTGGACCAAGTGCAACTTTGAAAACTTAAATTTACACGTTATAGTATATGATGGCATTATATAAATTAAAATACTATTTAGATTTTAAAAAATCACGACACAGGCGGGACTTGACATGGTTCGTACAGCAGTGGGGATGAGTATTCTGTGTCTTTTATCTATATCTTTATATTTATTCTCGTTCATTTCAAAGTGATTTTAAAATCTTACCCTTAAGTTGTTTATCAGCTAAAATTGTACTGATCAGCTGTTTTCTATGATTGTCGTGATGAAGTTCGAGTAAAGGCGCTCGCTGCTTGCGACAGGCGAGGCTCGCTCCTTTCCAATCTACTGCTTCAGCAGACCACTGGTAGCAATTGTCGCCAACACGTGTGTAGTTAGCTACGCATGGCTCTAAAAAAGTTAAAACGATTAAAAATAAGTCTTGTGTTGTAAGGATAGCATGCATCAAATAACAAGTATATTTAAAAATCGATCAAATAGCCCATTTCATACATATTTACTTCTTATAATGTGTGTGGGTTACATGGACCATCATCTTTAATACAATATAACCATAACTATACATAGACTAGGATTTATTGAAACTCTAACGGATGTTTTAACTGTATTTATAGAATTACCTGGTTTAGCCTCCTGTCCAGCGACAATATGGTGAAGCGTCTCTTCCAGTTTCCGTAAACGTTTCTCCATTAGGTCCGCACGATACACCAGTTTCTCAATAGCTCCCAGCAGGTATAAATCTGTTTCTGTCACTTGCTTCCGAGGGGGGTCGTCCACGCGGTCGATGGAATTTGGTTGTTGAGGTCGAGGTGGTGTTGGGGGTGCCTGTGTGTTAACACTTTTAGAATTGTATATGGTATTTTATTTAGCAGTTATCTTTCTTTATTATCAATAGTGGTTTTTGAGTTCAATTATATCGAAATTGCAAATAAAGCAAACTTATTATTTAAGAATGCATCAGTAATTATGAAAAGTAACTGGAAAGATTGCAAGATCTTTTAGTAATATGAAAGCGACCTCCAAGAACAATTGGGTACATTATTTTCAAGCTTCATAACTTTTATATTACATTTGGCAGTAATAAAAAATGTTCAGTTAAAAACAGCCATAAGTACAAAGCATACAATACGTGTTCAAGTAAAGTGCTTTCTCCTACCATCGAAAATACTTACATAACTCGGTCTAAACTTGTCCTTGTAAGGCGGTTTGTTAACAATCTTTCCGTTCGATGCAGAGGGGGTTAAATCCCATTCTTTATACCCGTGTGGTCCATTATAACCCTGTGGAGGCGCATTGTTATACGCAGAGTTGGGCTGAAGTGGTATTGGTCTACCGGGGCCGTGTGAGTGGGATGTTTGACTGTGCGGCGGAAGCGGCGGTGGCACTAGAGGGCCGTCTATACGTTCCGTGACATAGTAGCCCTTTGTTGGTGGTAACGCCATTACTCGACCTATTGAATTGAATTAATTATTATTTATATCGTGGATATTAAAGTTTGAATTATTTTTTTAATCGTTTCAAAACTTTAAATCTATTTTTAATTTAGTTGAAACAGTCCCTTATCTCTGAAAGATCAGACGAAATATCTAAAAGACTATGATTGTCAATTTAATATACAAGGTAAGTAATATATAGACAAACACTTAAAAACCTATTTTAAAGCAATAATATTATAATATCTCTTTAATTTAAAAAAAGTATACGGAATACAATCCTGCCAAAAAAAGATAAAATATATCTCGTATCTATCCCTCATGTCAATACCAGAATTTAATAAGAGAAAGTTGATATTAACCTTGTCGTTGTGGAGCTGGTTCCGAGGTAGCCCATTCTTCGAGGAGTAAGCTAAATGGTCCAGAATCCCAAGCATCACACGTTTCGACATCAGTGAGAGTTCCATTTTCTGAGTTTACAGAACTTAATAATACCAGGGTAAGTAACACGCTGGGCCACATATTCCTTTCAAAAAGAAGAAGAAAATGGTTATTATTATTCCTTGTGCCAGTTAATAAGTGAGTAAAATTAGTTCTTAAAATAAAAGTTGGTTACAAATTTTTCCATGGATATAAAAATTAATATTATATAAATATTTAGAATGAACAAACCAATCCTTTTTTTCGCAAAATGTTTATTGATGGCAAAAGCTTGCAATAATCGATTATTCGCGTTTTTCAGTTACGTTCAAGCTAACATTTTTTTCAACATAATTTTCATTCATTTAAATGCTTAAGTCAATTCAAACAAACAACAGAACACTATTTCGTAAATTTGCCTATGTATTGCAGGTAACAGCTATTGAATTTCAAATAGCTATTTAGGCCTACCCCCATCATTGCATAAGTAACATAACAAACAATACATAACGTCCAATGACCCAAATAGTAGTAACCATAATATTGAAGCACATGTCTAACATATTTTGCATTCCAATGTGATTTCATACATATTTTTTGAACCGTTTTCGCAGCGCACGCATGGAATCCCTGATAGATGAATATTTTTTCCCGTTTTTCCACTCTTTCTTTACTCCTACTGCTCGCAGCCTTACGTTTTATCGCCTTAGCCTTCCTCAATAAATGGACCAACTAACACCGATTTTTTCAATTTGAACCAGTAGTTCCTGAGATCAGCGTGTTAAAACAAACTCGTCAGCTTTTTAATATTACTATAGATTATTTATTAAACTTGCTTGTAGATTTATCTTCGTTCTACTAAGAACAAAGTTAGATCGCCGCACACTAGTGCGTCGAGTATAAAAGTAGGATAACCAGACCAACAGGACATACAACAACATCGACGTATGTCATAACACGTAAAGTGAATCATATTGGTAAGGTCAGATCAGGTCAGGGCCCGTGCGTTATTTCTTATTACGTAAGGAATGGAGAAAGTGACGCGGATTTCACGAGATCCGCCTTGAGTCGCGCTACCGGCTTCACATGAAAGTTGATTCATAAACTTTTCCATAATTCGCGGTACTGGCTCATCTTTTCTAGTAATTTCTTTCATCCAAAGCTACATTATGTTTTATGTATTTATTTAATACTTTATTGCAACACACAAATACAAAGTATGTTTTTGCATTTTTTTTAAAATTATTCTTAACAATACAAAATTCCTTAAAAAAAGAGTCACGGAAACGTGCAGGTTTAATTTGTTAAAAAATAAATTAATGTAAATCACACGGAAGTTACAGAAATAATAAATTTTATAAAATATTTTTAATATAGGTTGCGAAGCAAAAAGGTCGCGCGTCAACCGTTAAAATTGTTTTAATTAAATGTGTATACCTACTCGCGTGAACTACGAACATTATTTATATTTAACAAGTCGTTTTAAATGTTTTCAAACTTGGTCTGTCTTGTTGACATAGGTCATTATTTGGAATATATAGCGGAGCAAAACTTGTAAAATATGGGTAGATAATTTTTTTATTTATCGCGCAAGCACGTGTGCTGGCAAAAACAATTTATTGTTTTATTCCGTAATCATAATTCGTATAAAATTTTCGTTCTTATATTACGAGTCGTCTTACTCGTCATTTTAATAATCTCTACAATATTTAAAGAAACAGCTGGTCACTATTACAAGTACTTATATATCAGTTAAGATAAACTTACCTTATATTAATTAAAAACAAACACTTTCGCGTTCCCGCGTCACTAACAGCTCTCTACCGTTAATTGTACCTTAACACTGCACGAGCTAACAGCGGACTGTTGAAGAGTTACCGAACATAGCTATCCCCACAATACGTTACATAACATTCATATTAATCTGTTATGCATAAATACTTCCCAGACACATTCCGTAGTAAACAACGTGTGCGTGTCCAAATGCACAAGTCGGCTGTACGGTATACATAGAGGGGGGATGGAGGGGGTTATAAGATTAATAACCTGCCAAGTGTGAGTCCAAATGTCCCTCGGACTAGGTCAACAACTATGTATGTACCAAATTTTAATAATGTATTTGAAACCTTTAATACTTTTCACATGTTGCGCACGATGGCGTTATAAAATAAAAAATCGATATTCGATTGAAAAATTGAGCTACAAGTCTATAGTGTTAGTTATCGGTTTAATTAATGTTCGCCTTGTTATTTTAGTCAAGGTATAGTAGGTATGATTTATTCATCTATGTACACTTATGAACGTCACAAAATAATTACAGAATCTTACTTTTCTTTTTCCACCAGTTCCCCATTAAGGGGGGAAAAAAAACGGGGAGAACCCCCCAAAAACCCCCCCCCCCCCCTTTTTTTTTCCTTTTAAGTATTTTAACATTCTTGATTTTGAGTACACTGCATATTTTTTATGTTAGGACCGGGTTTCTCCGCCCAGCATTTTAGCTTATGATGATAGTAGGTTAGTTCCTAAGATTATTGTTAAAAATTGCGTGAGTTTTGTTATATTTAAATTAAATTTGCATTATTACAATAATAATACAACATATTTTAAAGAATATGCGGCCAACCCATTGCCATTTTTGATATAGAACAAAATATCGCGTTTGTTTCATTGGAGTCACTTTAAATGTTGATTATATTTTGTTTTTATTCAGTTCTTGAGATATACTCAACAAACAATAATCGAAATCTCTAATTATCGATTCAATTAAGTATTAATATGTATGTACTGTTTCATTTGTTTTAAGTGCTGTACTTAACGTAGTATTAAATAAAACTATTTTTTTAACAAACGTAACAATTTATTTGATAAAATCACAATGTACATTTCGATATGAATTTGTAAAGAATAACCTAATTATTGTACAATAATTTACTCGTAATATTCTATTACAAAATTAACAATAATAATTATCTAGATCTTAAACACTAAAATGATGAATATCTTAGGTAATAGAAAATTGAACTTACCCGCATATAGTTTTGTTTTCGTTATTTTGATATCAAAAGTTTCATATTCTAGAGATGATATTTTAAAACACAATATACAAAACAAAGTACTTCAGTAATAAAACTTAACTTATTAGACAGCACATTGTATAAAGGCCTACCGCGAATTTTTGAAATAGTTCTCGACGTTTTGCCATCACCAGTGGATGGCATCAAATCTTCCTAGACTTAGAGAAAACTAAGGAAATTTCGCATAGAAGAGATAGATTAATATATCCCGATGTTGTCACCGTAATGACGAAACGTCGAGACCATTTCTCAATTACGACGACTGAATAGCTTGACAAGCCAAATCGCTTAGGAGAACGTGGATTAACTGTTATTGTTTCCGACATCTTCCTATAAACGAAAAATTATTATAAATATTTTTATAACAAATACCACTTTAGTTATATGGGAGAAATTATTAAAAGTAGACGGTAAGATTCATATGTTCAGCAAGTGCGGGGTTAGTTGCCTCCGTCACTGTTGCAGCCTCGTTTTCCTGTAAGAGATATATCTTATATAAATTTTTGCGGTGGTTCAAGATAAGACGATACCCTATGTTGAACCCTATTCTCTTTTGTCATAAAAAAGGCTAATTTCGTAAAAAAAAATTAAGTATTCATTAAAAATACATATAAACTTCAACTTAAGCTCAAATACCAAAATTCGGCCAATACTATTGTTATATATTTTTTACACGAGTTAGGTTATTATTTTGGAGAAATACGTGGTTCCAGGGCCCCTTCTAAAACACTAAGGGTAATGTTTAATGGGTCTTTTCGTATCACGTCTCTTATAAAGTTGGCAGTTAGCAAAAGAAGACGATTTACTATATATGGTTAACGATGATAGATTAGAATGAAGAAAAACAAAAACAAAGCAATAACGATTTCATTTGAACTCTTTGACCCTATTTTTAACCAAAACACAGTATAAACATAGTAAAAGTAGCACCAGATCTAAAAGCTCTGATTACTAAGATACACATACAATTTTACTTACACTGTGATGATTGTCGTCCCAACTGAGTTTCTTTACTCTAGCTGGTATTGTTGAACTGGGCCAAGCGACCCCAGAACGGCCGGCTGCACCCGCGATGTGATCGCTCATGAGAGATGGACTTCCTGGGCCTGACACAGCTGTTCTTTCGGTGGCATTTAGTTCAGGCAATACTGGAGGGGCTGGTGCCACTTTACTCTTGCCTCCAACACGCGGTTGCTTGGCATCTGTCGAGGGAAAAAGATGTACAGAATCTAGATAAATAGTGCTTGAACCAGTAATTTAGCATACATTAAAAATCTATTCCATGTTCTGGGTGGAGACCAAACCCACCATTGCATTTAGTGATCGGTTGACACGGTAGCTCAGTCATAGAAAATTACCAACAGAGCTACTGCGTTTCGAGTCATGTAACTTAATTTATTTATTTTAATCCAGGATATATTTTTTATAAATATAGTTAGTTATAAATGATAAATTCTGTTAATTATAAAAAAAAGACATGTTTTTCGTATGTATGTAAATTTAACTACTTACATAACATTAAATATAACCATAGCATAAAAAACGTCATTAAACACAACTCTTAACTATTAGTTTAAATAGATATTCGACTGCTGTGTTTAAATGGTTTTTATGATTCTATGCTAGCCTTACATTACATTTTTTATTAAACTGTTTAAAACACCATTTAAAAATTATAATAATTTTTCACATGTTGGTACGTATTATTTAAATAAAATACTTTAACGGTTAAAAACGCGATATATATTAGTTTTAGTCTGTTTTCTTATAAACGAATATACACCTAGAGTAATTAAAGATTACTGACTACTCACTGATAGGCTCATGTCGAATATCAAGACTCGAAGTGGAGTCGAGAATGGTGCTGGCGCCTGCAGAGACGCTCTGCAGGGAGCTGGACGGAAGAATGGAGGTCGGAGCACTTATCTTCTCTGCCCCAACCGGACCTGACACCTCAGTTTTGGGGTTACGACGACGCCTGAAAAAGAAAGATTAATTTACATGAAAGATTTCAAAGGTTTAAAACGCGATATACATTAGTTAAACTTATTTGGAAATTATTTTAACTACGGCCCTACGTTTTGATGCTTTGCAGCAGCCCTGGTCACGGGGAGACCGCGACTGCCACGATGGTCTTACTTATACATTGTTATTATATTTATGCTTGAAATGTTTCTGAATAAGTGACCAATACTCACACAGTACATATATAGATTAGGAGAGCGAGCACAGCTAACGCGAGAAGAACGAGCGCCACCACGAACGTAGCGAGCACGCTCGCCGAACGCGTAGAACCTCGCGCGTCCGATATTCCACTGACATGAACAGCTACTGGTACTGAACTCTGTATAAAACGGACAAAAGAATAATGGCGGTGTTACGTTCGGCTGACGTGACGTGTCGTGACGCGTCATAATGCCGATGCTATTCACAACACGTCCCATCACAAAAAATCACATGAATTACATTTCCCTCGCCAAATATATTATTCAACTTTGTTCCGAGTTACTTTTTGATATAACTTCAAATTACTGACCTGTCTAGGGGGAGTCCCCGAATCGATAGCAGTAGCCACGACGTGTAAAACGCTGGTATTCAGTGCCGGCACTGCTTCACCACGTAGGAACAGTTCGCCAGCCGCGTTCAAGTAGAAAAGCCTTTAAAATTCATGTTTATTGTTCAATAACTGCTACTAATCGTTGTTACAACAAATCTATTTATGTATTTGTTTAATCAGCATGGTAACTAAAATACTAATTATACTAATAGTATAATAGGTACAACTACAGAGCTATAAAGTTATCTTTAAGTAATTATGCATTAGGGTAGCATAAGGCGTTTCCTTATGTAACGCGTTACAGTCCCTGGCTGGCTTCCCTTTTTCTCTTAACTATAAGCCAACCCACAGATCTATAGCCACATAAACATATTGTGGCCACACTTTTGTCTTGTTCAACTTAAACATTTTTTAAGTTAAACCATTTTATTTTTTGTGCACTCAACTAGAAAAATATTAAATTTTGAAATAATCATCGTGTTTTTACTTTCATCTGATACCCGTATTGAGGGGGTTAAGGAAAAATATGTAATCTCTATTTTGTATCGGTGGCCATCTTGGATTTATAATGTTTTTGATTTTATTATATTGTATTGTCATCTAAATTAAATGTGTTTATCAAATTTCTCTGTTCGGGTCGAGCTAAATAAAACTGTTTAAAAATGATAATAGATGTTTATATTTTGTCTTCACGTATAACTTTATCAAAATCTAACAATCCACCATCTTTCTTTTGTCTGATAGACATCTGTCAAGATAGTATCTTTCTTATAACAAAATACTAACGGTGCGTGTAAACCACGTAGAGTAAGGGTCACTGTATCCTCCGTGTCTCCATCATACACGTCTAGCTGTCCAACTTTCACCAAGCCCCCGGCTCTACCATCACGCTTCCCCTCCTCTCCTGTGATCCCCTCTTCCGGGCTCAGGTCTGCACGGAACTCGTAGAGCGGGTAGCGAAATCTCGGTTCCCATTCGTTCACATTGTCCACTGTTATGTTCAGTGACGCAGTATCATTCTAGAAATTAAAAGAACGTGGTATAAAACAAAATTCTATAATGTCACAAGTCTATTAATGCTAGATAGATGAAGATGCTAACTTCTCAAACCTTGGTCTATCTCAAACTTCTAGATCTTTATTGGGTAAGTTTTCGTTCCTGCCATTCGCACTTCCGTATTATTACAATAACTAAAGGTTATCAAATCTTTAATTGGTTTTAGTGTTTTTGTCTCCATTATTGTGTGGAGGTATTGTTTTTGGTATATTGTAACTATTCTGTCTAACAATGGCCTGTGCTGCTGTCACAAGAAATAAATAATAATAAAGGTAGTGGTAATCCTTTTATGATATAGCGTACTTTTATCGGTTTAAAACGTGAAGCCAGGGTTACAGGAGTCTCCAGCGAACCCAGTGACCACGGCTGCTGCAAAGTTACTCATAATATACTAATATAATAATTAATTAACATATTAAGAAAATCCAAAGCCAAAATAGGTCGATTTCGCATCTTGTTGAGGTACACAAAAAAATACTCACAGTGGGTCCGTCGGTAACCATGACTTGGTAGAAGTAGTTAGCAGTTGTCTCGTAATCAAGTGCTTTGCGCAACAGCACCTCGCCTGCTGAATTAATGGCAAACTTTTCAAGGAACGCCCGGTCCGATACGTAGAATTGTAGTGGCCTCTGTGATAATAAAATTAGTCTTTAACGAAAACAAACAAAATATAAAATTATACATAATACGTACGTACAAAGAAAATCTACAAAAATAAATTACATCCCTAATGCACCAGACACCATTTAGTCACTTAAAACTATTTGCAGCACTGGTTTTAACAGCCTAGCCCGAATTCAAGTTTTACTTTCTATGAAAAATCCGTGAGCAAATATGTGGATAATATTATATTGTCTATGGTGTGATCTACTTTAATGTTGAAATCTAGTTAATCTATGAAGGATACAATTGTATTATTTTCTTCTATTTCGCTTACTATGTCTCTGTATGTGAATGTATAAGGACAGGTATATCAATATAATTATCAGCACTTACTTCAGTTTGCGGTGAAGTACTCAATGTGAGCACCAGTGTACCAACAGCAGCATCTTCAGGCAACTTCGCGCTGTACTCTCTCCGGGTGAACTTTACACCACGTATAGCCCCTTCTCCACTGGGACCGCTGATGGCACTCGTCCCACTAGTCCCAGTCGGTCCGGGTAATTCTGCTACTGCAGCGGAGGCACCTCGGGCTACCCTCCGTCTAACAGACACTGTCGCCAGGGCATAGCGATCAGGATTGTCTATTTGAGTTGCCTGTGAATATTAATTATTCTTCAGTATTAAAGAAGAGTGTCTGAACAAGTGCCCCTATACATAAAGATCTTTCTCTATATACGGGGGCTGATACTTCTTCTACTATGGACTTTATATATCGAGCCCTCATCATCTCCCCTGCGTAGCTTGAACTCATAAATGCCTCCAAAATTATAGATAGGACCCAGAACTAAACATAAGTTGATTTAAAACTATTAAAAGAAAATCTTTCTTTTCTCTTTTCTTCTCTTTTCGATCCTCTTAACTCCGGAGCCCTGGTGAACTACGCCTCTAGATCAAATAATCTTAGTGGAATAAATCTAAATCCGAATATTCCATAGTAATTCAACAATTAAAAGGTTTCCACCATACACCATTAGGGACTTCACTATTTTTACCTTTATAACGACAGTCAGGGGTAGATTATCAAATAGCAAAGCCGTAGCAGCGATACGGCCAGTGTCCTTACTGACGCGAAGACGTTCCGCACCGGGTCCCGAGCTGGAATAGACTAACGGTGCATTGATGCCTTCATCTTGATCTCGAGCTGATATTGGCCCTGGGCTGGTCTCCAGTTCAGTACCCTAAAGTTTAAAGAAATGTACACATTGTTTTTTAAATTTAGAATGACTTACTTAAAGTAGTATTTCCTTCTATATTAATATGAAGAAAAGGAAAAACTCAAATGTCAAATTGCTACAGTGTTAATTTCGCAATAAATGGTAGATACCATACTTCCACCAAATGTCTAGATAAATCGACAATGTTTCCTAATTAGCTGTAATAATAATTATACTATCTACATATCTGTAATATTCTCTACTATACTTACATCTAGTGCGTCATCAGGTAGCAGAGCCACATAATGTTCATACGAGAATTTCGGATTCTGATCATCTGCGTCTAAGACCTCAATGAAAAGTGTGGTGTCATTGTAACGCGGCGGGGAACCCCCCGTCTCGCGCTCTTAGCGTAGCTGTCAGATTGCGCACGCGTTCATAATCTAGCGGCTTAGCTATAACCACTGTACTGTCCAGTTCGTGTGCAAATTTTATGTATTCCTGTAATGGAGTAGGTATACAATATTTTAAGAGGATTTCATTTCAGAAGAGCGAACTTAGTTATACGTGCTATATAAAAAAAATAGTTACTTTATTCGTAAAATATAATAAGTAGATCCAATATAGAATAAAAATGATATTGGGACTTGAACTCATGATGTTAAAAGGCACACCATGCCTTTCACACTCTTTATAAAGCCTATTTTATGCTACTGTTAAATTTTAGCATATTAAAATTTCAAATAAAATCGACACATTACCCGACACTCCAGCTTTGAAAGAATTAAAAAAATATCCGTTCCACCAATTTCCCTTCATAATAAACGTATACTTACAGCAGCTGGTCCGGGGAGCACAGAATAATGTACTGTTGCATGTGGACCGGGCTGGTCTGGGTCATGGGCCGCTGCCGTTAGTACCCTGGCTCCGACAGCACTCAGCTCGGAGATACGAGCTCTGTAAGGGGCACTCTGCCACGCAGGAGCATTGTCGTTGACGTCCCATACTCGTATTGATACCGGAATTACAAAGCTCTGAAAAAAAAGTAGATTGTCATGTGAGTGTACATGTGTCAAAAATTTTACCAGAGGTCTTTTTGGAAGTAATCATTATATCTACGAGCAATATTTAAATAAAACATTTTAACGGTTTAAAACGTAGTTAAACTACGTTTAATTATGTAAAACGTAGTTATACCTAAACTTTACGCAATTAGTTGCATGGAAACACTAGAAGGTGCTTTTCAATAGCTTTATTAGAAGCCGAAGCGTTGTATCAGAGTTAAAATTACTAACTTAAATATAAATTGCGTTTTAATATGTTTAAAGAAGTTAAATTCATACTTTCTAATATTTTAACAGAATTATTAACTATTAAAATTCGACTGGTTCTACCTAAAGTAGTTTTTTTTTATTTTTTTTATTGATACTCACTGGGTCAGCTGTGTGCCTCCTATCGCAGCGAACATTTACATATACACTGGATGGTCCCAATTTCTCCTCTCTGTCGAGAACTCGAAGAAGGGTGATATTCTTAGTACCCGGTGCTATGCCTACTGCGGCCCCGCGTTCTTGAAGTTTCAGGGATATGTTTCCAGACTCTTCATTGGGGTCACCGTTTACACTTAAGGTTCCTGCAATATTTAATAACATATTTAAACTCTAAAAAAAAACGATGATGCAGATGTAGCTTTTTAACGTTTAATTTTGGAATGTTTCAAAGAAGTTTTACTATCAGAATGTGTTCTGACGTCTTTAGTATCTATTATATTTCTTTGAAGGTAATAGAGGAGAATGAACAAACCAATAACGCTGCCGATCGGGGTATCCTCGCTGATGAAGAAGCTCTCAACGGCACCACCATTCATCAAATAGCATCTACTGTCTTGGATAGCTGAAACGATACAATACAAGTTAAGAATTGAAAGATAACGACAAACATAATATATTTTGTAGAGATTATACCTAATACAAAAACGGTGACGTCAATATAATATACCAAAATTACTATTTAAGACAGAAAATATGACAGAGGCAGAGTGGCCTAATAACAAAAGACATGATTTTCAATCAGGAGGAAAAAAATGCGCAATTGACTTAGGGGAAATTCATTATTAATGCAAAAAATATGTTAATAACTTTAGGTCACCGTGCTCTTGTGTAGATTAACATTTTTAGACTATGCTATGTCCTAAAATTGCAGTTAGGCCTCTAAAGGCCTCATAATATAGTCTCATAGAAAATGTGCTATGCTTAAACGATTTATCAAATCTGCCTCCATTTATTTAATTAATTTCCGACTTTAAAAAACTGCAGTCACGATATAGTTAATTGCTCAGCGACTGCCGACTGGACAAAGGCATTTAGCGTAATGGCCTATGGAGGTCACCGATTTTTCTTCGTTAAAAGCCTTGGGGTTAGGAAACTTTTATTCAGGTCAGAATGATTCTAGGTACTTTATTTAAGGTTGTTGGACTTGGATAATCAATCTGATTATTATAATATTAAATTTTATCTATAGCTTATGTAATTCATGCAAATTAATAATCATCTGACAGATGGATGTAATGGTAGTAATGTATGGCTGGGTTCGATCCCCACCAGGTCCATCACTTTTTCTATACAATTTTTAATTTTTTTCTGCACACACTTTGGACTTTGATACTAACTCGTCAAGTTTAATTACGTTTCGATATCAGTCTGTGGATTCCTGAATATCGAAAGCCAAAATAGGTCTTATAGGGCTGGGGTATTTGTCTGTCTTTTTTTGTCAGAAAAGATTAAATATAACATCTTTTAACAGTTTAAAACGCGGAAATGTTTGAGTAAAAGTATAGACCCGTTTGGGGCATTGCGGTATCCGTCTCATTTATGTAAGTAGGTGACATTTATCTATTTCCGTGAGATAAAAACCCAGGACGTCGTGATTAGCGCAATGCAAAGACCTCTTACAGATTTAAGCATATCTAATTCAATACAGTACCTAATAACTGTCGATTCAAAATGTATTAACTAAGTATATACCTACGTAGACCTGTAGCTATACCATAAGGGTATGTACCTACTTGGCGGACTAGTTCAGTTATGAAATTTGTTTAAAAAATAATTATTAACTAGTACACATTTAAATTACACCCTTTCAACAGTTTAAAACGCGAAATATATGAGTTAACTTATTTACAATTTTAGCAGGAGCCGTGGTCACGGGCGGATAGTGTCTTTGTGTAGGTTAAACACGGTTTTAAGTGGTTTTATTAAATACTGTCTATAGTTTACGCGAGTAGTACACATTTAAATATCGCGTTTTAAACCGTTAAAGTGTTTTATTTAAATGGTTTTATTAAAATAATTATTAAACAGCGTTGATAGACTGTCCTTCTCTGATGTTCCTCAAGAAGGGCATTTATCTGTATTTCACTGTTTAGATCTTTATTACAAATCATAATTAATTCAACTCGTGTGCATTTGTCATTGAATGTGCTAAATCTATGTAGAGCATGAAAATGATAATTGTGCAAAAACTATGTACGTGTCCAATTGTCGATTAAGTGTAAAGTGAGACTTGCGTGTTACCAATATGTTACAGTGAAGCATGCCTCGTGAACGATGCTATTTATTACCAAAATTTAACGGTTCAAATGTAAGAAAGTTAAAACAGTTGGGTCAATAATATATAGTCTAATTCAAATAATTGCGAAAAGGAATGTGACTCTCTTACAGTTTTGTTTCACTACGTTTTTGTGCTTATTATTGTCTTTTCAATTTACCGTTTTGAATAATGTTATATCATTGTGATGCTAATAAGAATCGTTTGATAATGACTGTACACGAGTAGTACATATTTAACAAAGACTTTAACGGTTTAAAACTTGAAACGTATTAGCAAAAATTTTGACCATGTGACCATGGCTGCTACAAAGCACCAGAAACGTCGGGAGGTAGTTAAAAATAATTTGTAAACAAATTTAACTAATATATTTCGCGTTTTAAACCGTAAAGCAATTTTATTTAAGAGGTTGGAACAGAGAAGATTCTGTTTAAATAAAGCATGCAACAAACCAATTTGCGCACTTGCAGGTCACAACTTTCATTTCATTGTGATCTATGATTATATCTGACCTGTGTGACGGAACATTATCTCAGGATTAGCCGCGTAAACACCGGCTCCAATCAACTTTTCGTTTTAAAATGTCGGGCTCTATTTCAACATCTTTAAATGTAAGTTCTTGTGAAAGATTTAGCTTACTTTTCCCGGTCGATATACACATATATTAAAGTAAGTTTCTTTTGGAAAACTACTCAGTCTAATGGCGGTTTCGATCACAACTTTGTCCAAGAAGTTTCTTATAAGCGATTTTTTTAACTAAAGATACTTCACCCGACCAATCCGACCCGAGGAATTTAGAAATTCCGTCCGGGTCACCAAACACAGTCCAAAGATAAAATGACATGGAGTTTAATCGCGTTCCGATTTTAGTCTGTGGATTTCCGAATATCCAAAGTCAAATTAGTTCGATAGCGCATCTTGTTAAGATGTTATATGGCTGAAGTCCTGCTTTATAAAAACATACTGCTCAAATACATATCGTTATGTTGGTAGATGACAGTTGTACGTTGAGTATTCCAGAAGCAAAACATCGGGCGAAATATATTTTTATACTAATTTTATTTCACAATTACTTTAATTAGATGTTAATTGATACAACAACTGTAATTTCATGGTTGTGTAGATTTACAATGTCGATATATGAATCCATACTTACTTACTATCAAGCTAATACTTGGTGAACGTACCTATATATTTTGCGACTATGTGTTCTACTAGTGCTCTCAATTTGACGACTAAATACATATCTTTACATAAACTTACCACGAGACCGTATTGAAAGAGCTATAGCTGCTAGTGGAGGCACAGTTCTTGAATCCTCGTTAGCTAATATAGAAATCTTTATTAGTTTATTGCTTTTTTTTGTTTCTTATTAATTGCCCTTAGGCAATATTTTATTTATACTATTGTAATGGCAACTGTTCCATGTATTCAACTTTTTTAACACAGTTGTAGAATTATATTTGACGCGGTATAAGTCATAAATAAATATTAAATACTATTAGTTTACGCGAGTAGTACACATTTAAATAAAACACTTTATCGGTTAATAACGCGATATATATTAGTTAAACTTATTTGAAACGTAGTCTCCCCGTGACCACGGCTACTGAAAGCATCCGAAACGTAGTTAAAATAATTTTTAAATAACTTTAACCTATATATATTGCGTTTTAAACCGTTAAATTATTTTATTTTAATGTAATAATTAACATTAAAATTTTCATGGCAGGTGCACAAAGACAAGCGGGCGAAGTACAGGAAGTTAGTATCGCAATATATTCCCCACGCTACTTCCGGTTGATTTCAAAATGTATTTTTACAAAGTAATTTATTAGAACAGGCCAAAACTTTTAAATTTGACGGGCTTGTTAATGTTTGAAAACTTTATTAATTTTTACATGTTATTGCACATGAAGGCACTATATAATTTAAAAATCGAAAATAAATTGAAAAAAAGAGCACCAGCACGGAACACTGACGATGCCGGCTCAAGTCCTGCCCGAGTCGAACATTTTTTCAATTTATTTTCGATTTTTAAATTATATAGCGCTTGTTGATCTTATGGTGGCAATGTATGGCTAATAATTTTTCAATTTATAATCTGGATATTAAATAGGTGGTAGGAATATAGAAATTCCGTTCGGGTTTCACAGTCCACCTTGAAAAAGCCGTGAAGCTGAATCGCGTTTCGGTTTCAGTCTGTGGATTTCTGAATATCCGAAGCCAAAATAGGTGGACATCGAATCTTGTTTAGATATAGGCTGGGGTATATCACCTACCATCAAGTAAATCTCATTCTTATCCTCCTGTATGAATAAAAAAAAGTCGATGATCATTATTACTAGATGTTATCCATATCATTTGTACTACGTAGTGTATTGGTTAAACATGTCTAGCATTACGATAAGCGCGAGAGATCCTGGGTGCAAATATCGCAGGATTATAATAGACCATGTCGGGCAGAACATGGAAGCCTGATAAACTATTTCCCAGGAAATGAAATTTATTTGCAACACTGAAACAGACACTAAAATATGTCTGCCTCGTGCAGGAAACGGAATTTATATACACTATTAATACTGTAACAATCTGCGATTATAAACTCATTATCTTTCTTGTTACTTATGGTAGAATGTCCACCCACAGAGTATATATAGAAAGGCTCTTATCGCACATTTATCATTATTCACTTATCATTAAATACTTCCAAATCATTACGCCAAATGACTTAAGAGCCGTCATTACAATGCTCCAATGATTGATTCCAATGAAAGTTAATGCGATACATCCAATATACGTTCAACACCTTTCACTGGCTGATTACGGCAAAAACTAGCGACTTTGCACTATCATCTGAAAGCTTTTTTATACAATTATCTAAGGTAAGAAGTTTCTTTAGGAAATAGAGGAATATTTTTTTACCATTACACTTACAATATTAAATATCTCATTGTCTAACCTTCTTCCGATTTAACCATTTTTTTACGAACTACGAGAATTATAATTTATCATAAAAAATGGTGTACAATATGTTAATAACAATAAATAATATTAACTGTTATATAAAACCATTGATTAACTCAAACTAATAATAATAAGGTTTAAGAACCACTCCTTTGTGTTTCTGTTATACCTTGTTGTAAAAAGAAAACGATAGGTATTTTGATTAAGATAATAGTTTTTGCTGGGGAAGTAACTGCATGAAACTATTGCACAAACGAATACATACAAAATAACGATATTACATTGGAGCTTACATTGAAGGTTGTGCAAAGACGGTCTAG